GTTAATGCCACCTCACCCCCCAGCTCCCCTTATGTGTTGTCCTGGAGTTGGGCGTGCTTGGGGACATAACCCCTGCCCATTTAGGCTTGGCCAAAATCTTCCAGGAGTTGCCAATTAAAGCTCTCTAGAGCAGGGACTTCTGCCTGCCCCCCACACAACTGCTGGGGCTGCTGTTGTAGTCTCCACCTCCAGCCCCAGGGTGCAGTGTCTGTCCTTAGCCCATTGGAGCTCAGCCAGGAATGCCCCTGTGCTCAGGGCCTGCTCTGATCTTGCTCCCAGTACCCCACCTCAACTAGTGGCATGTCCAGGGAGGCCTGGTCTTTATCAAAGGCCCCACTAAATCATCCAACTCCCCAGATAAGAAGGGCTCCCCAGGTGATACCTGCAGATCAGGCTGAAGTTGGTCCCAGACCAAAGATCTTCAGGCTACTGGGGGTACCACCTTTGAGCCAGGAACAGGGCCAGAACGAAGGCTGCGAGCAGGCAGTGGGGCCACTCTTCTCACTCCCTGCACCTTTGGTGGACACTTTGGTGATGGGGTGAATGAGAACTGGTATTAGGTATTTTTCCTCAACCAGGTAGCAGCCTTTCCCACCAATCTCACCTGATGGTTCCAAGCAGACAACCACCCAGGGAACATCAAGGGACACTTTAGGGCTATGTTCCCAGCATACATGTTGAGTGGGGTCCAGGAGCAGGAGTTGTTGACTGTCCTCGGTGGGGCAGTATGTAAAAGGGGGTGACCTTGGTCTTAAGGTTCTTAGGTGAACCAGGGCATACAATGCTATGGCTGCTGTTCTGTGGGTGCCCTCCACTCAGTCTGGAGTCCACTGAGAACTTGTATGGAGGTGGGCAGGAGACAAGGGCACTCTCATTGTTGATCACTGACTGCCATGTGTGGAGTAGGAGTCCAAAGTTGAGTCCAAGGGGCAGATATTGGTCTTGGTCTTGGGGTCCCTAGGTGAACCAGGGGACACAACGCTGACTGCTGTTCTGTGGTTGCCCTCAACTGGGTTTTATTTCCACTGGCCATTTTTGCTGTGGTTAGAGCATCAGCCTACAGACTGCAGTGTCTTGGGTTCAATTCCTGGTCAAGGGCATGTGCCTGGGTTGCAGGTTTGATCCCCGGCCCTGATGGGGGTTGTGCAGGAGGCAACCAACCTATTTGTCTCTCTCACATCAAAGTTTCTCTCCCTCCCTCCCTTCCACTCTATCTAAAAATCAATGGAAAGCCCTGGCCAGTTTTGCTCAGCGGTTAGAGCATCAGCCTGCGGTCTGGAGAGACCCAGGTTCAGTTCCCGCTAAGGGCATGTACCTCGGTTGTAGTTTGTCCCCAGCCCTGGTTGGGTCGTGTGGGTGGCGACCACTCAATGTGTCCCTTTCACATTGATGTTTCTCTCTCTCCCTCCCACTCTATCTGAACAAAATATCGAAAAATGCCCTCAGGTGAGGATAAAAAAAAAAAATCAATGGAAAAAATATCCTCAGGTGAGATTAACCAAAAAAAAAAAAAGGAAGAGTTTGTGTGGAAGTGCACAGGGGTTCAGGGGTCAGCAGCTACCCTTGATGGAAATGGAAGTCCAAGGTGGAGATCTTGGATATGGGATCTGACAGCAGTCCACGGTTGAGAAGTGTCCCAGTGATGTCCCAAGGCTGCTGTCTTCTGAATGTGGCATTAGGGACAGGGCACTGGGTTGGAGGCCTCACTGTCTGCTTGATGTCAGGGGTACTCTGCCCACCTTGGCGGAGCCGTGTTTCAATAATGTAGGGCTGTTGGGTGAGGGACCAATGCGCTCAGATTTCTGGCACCCCAGTGCCCTCCCACCTAATGGGGGCAATGTGTTGAATAGTCTAGCCAGCCCTACCACAGGGTGGGGTTCCAGGAGGTGCTGGGTGGGGGGATAAGGACTCAAGGGACCACAGAGGGACACAAAGGTGGGGGTCAACAGGAAGGTGTAGCTCAGGGAGTGGGCAAGGAGCTTGGGACAGAGTGATCAAGTGAGCAGTGCACCAGCGAACCATCCAGGTAGGTGCAGCAGGACCAGGTGGAGATCTTGGCAACAACAGGTGTGGCAGGAGCACCATCTCTCTGCTCAGTGCAGCCTCTGGCCTCCACACTGGCTTTCATAGTCAGCTCACCTGAGAAAGCCTCCCAGGATGTCACCTCATGCCCTTGCCCAGATGCCAGGGGGCTCTCACCAGGGGCCTTCCTGAGCCACTGACCAGAAGCCCTCCCTCATCCCCTACACAAGGACTGGTGCCCAATCCAGGCCTTGCCCCTTGCAGCATCTAAATCCCTCTCCCAATGTAGGGCCTTCATTTCAAAACTAGGGGGTGGTGTGGGGTGGGGAATGGGAGATCCCAGAGCAGGTTCTTGGTTATGCGGTGTGGGTCCTTAGTCCAGAGGTTTCCATGGTGATACTACAGGCTCCCTGGATCCTGAGGTTTCAGCTGCTCTCTTTGCTGCCACCATGTGATAGCTGGTTCCCAGGATGCGACCTCAGAGAAAGAGATCTGACTGCAGGGTGCAGGTGACCTGGGCAAGGACAGAGGGGAAACTCCAACAAGAAGGGTCATCACACAGAAGGTCCAGGGCTGCCAATCTGAGAAGAGGGAAGTGCTATACCTAGACAGCACCCCATCAACCCTCCTAAGCAGTTGTCTGCCTCCTCCCATCACTGTGGTCATCACTGATTTAGTCCCACTCAAAGATTGTTTTGGCAGAAACTGAATTGGGTGTAGGGAGATTTCTTCTTTTTCTTAATCCTCACCCGAGGACAGTTTTGCATTCATCTTCAGATATAATGGGAGGGAGAAAGGGAGGAAGAGAGAAAGAGAAACATTGACATGAGAGAGACTCATCAACTGGCTGCCACCCACACGACCCCAACCAGGGCAGGGGACAAACTGCAACTGAGGTGCGTGCCCTTAGCAGGAACTGAACCCGAGACTCTCTGGTCCATGGGCCAATGCTCTTACTGCTGAGCCAAACTGGCCAGGGCAGGGGATTCCTTTAATTTAGTTCTTTGCCATTCCACGACTTGTTTACTTAAAATTTTGTTAATAGACTTACTTTTTATATTAAATTGAACTTTTTTTTTTGGTACGTGCCCCTAGCGGGAACCAAACCCGGGACTCTCTAGTCCGCAGGCCAATGCTCCAACCACTGAGCCAAACTGGCCAGGGCAAATTGAATTTCTTTCATTTATTTACTTATTTATTTAGTATGTATGTATGTATGTATGTATGTGCCCCTAGCGGGCACCAAACCCAGGACTCTCTGGTCCGCAGGCTGACACTCCAACCGCTGTGCCAAACCAGCCAGGGCTTATTAATTTTTTTCTTAGAGAGAGGGAGGAAGAAAGAGGGAGAGAGGGAGAAGAGAGAGAGAGGAACATTGATGTGAGAAACATTGCACATGTCCCGACTTGGGAATGAACTGGTAACCTGGGTATGTGCCCTGAGAATGGAACCCACCACCTTTCAGTGTACAGGACAACGCTCCAACCAACTAAGACACCCATGCAGAGCCAAACTGATCTTCAAAGAGCATGGATTTCAGAGTAGAAGAGTGATGGTGCTAGCTGGGCACGTACACAGCCTTTGGAGAGTGGATAGGAACATCTATCCTTGGGGGAAGAAGGGTGTACCTCCACCTTTTAATGCCTCCTCCCTTCCCCAGCTGTAGTCTGTCTTATGATTGAATGGCCTTAAGTAAATCCTAGACTTGGTAGTTTGTCTTTCCTCTGGGCCTGAGAGCTCATGTACCTACAGCCACAATCTTTCAAGAATGCTGCCTCAGGTTTCTGGGTCATCTGGAAACTTCCTCAACCCCCACCCCAAGTACCACTGGGACAGGGTGCATCCTGTTTTGTGTACCCATTGCATACACCTGTCTGCCTCCCATCTGTCTCCACAAAGGACCTCAACCGTCTACTGCAGACTCCTGGCTGGGAGAGGATGGTGTTGGTCTGGAGTTTTCAGGATCCAGATAAGTAATGCCAGGTCTGTGGCTCTTGTCTGCACTGTACATCCAACTCAGGGACAGATGACCAGGGTCATAGCTCTGGACTACCAGCTAAAAATATGAAATTGGACCTACACTGCACATTGTAAAACACAGTTCAAGTGTCCTGGACTTCTGTGTATTTAGTGTATGTTAGGTGTAAAATTGAGAATATTTCCTAGTAAGCATACATAAACAATATGCAAATCAAGTGTTAAAAGTAGTTAGCTATCCCCCCACTCCTTGTCAACATAATTGTCTTCATATGTAGAAAACATTTCTATATAATCTATTCCTGAAAAACCCTATTCCATTAATAGTTTGAAGCTAATGGTTTTAAGTTTAAAAATTATAACTCCTCTATCAATAAATGGACTTTGATTTTTATAACACTTAACTGGAAGCTACATTTCTGTGTGAATGGGGTTTCTTTGATTTTGTGTCCACAGGCTAATATTTTACTCGGAGCCTTAAAATCTGATGCTTTTACGTTCTGGTGTCTCAGAAAGTTGTGAAGGGACAGACTCCTTTACACCTTGGGGTATCTCGAACGGAACAACAATTGCCCACTAGTTCCTACACGTGCTCAGAGTATGGGAAAGAAGAGTAACGTAGAAAGGGTAGCTGCCAGGACTTAAGATGTCTGGCCAAAGCCAGTTCGATCTCCCAGGAAGGGCCTACCCGCTTCCAAAATGTCCTCCCGCAGTCCTGACGTCATTCGAAGGGCTTCATCAAGCCAGAAAGACACTGTGCTCCAATCAGGGCTCAGTTCCCTCACCCACTGCCCTTGATTTACGTCACTTCCGGTGGTGCAGCAGCCATTTTGTCAGTCGCCAGCGGATCCCGCGCGCTGGAGAAGTGCAGTTCCCCCTAGTTACCAACTCAGTTCTCCCTTCGCGCTGCGGGCGCGGTCGAAGAGCACTCACCACAGACGTAGCCGTTCCTCCCTTCAGTGTCGCCGCAGCTGTAACATCCGCCCGGAGCTAGTGCCGCTGTCTTCCACCCTTGCCACTGACAGGCGCCCTTAGGGAGCCCCGGTCAGCGATGTCAAGCGAGGAAAGCTACCGGGCAATACTGCGCTACCTGACGAACGAGTGCGAACCGTACGCGCCGGGCACAGAGGGCAATGTCAAGCGTAAAATCCGCAAGGCGGCCGCCTGCTACGTGGTGCGGGACGGAACCTTGTACTACCAGCGGCGGCAGCGGCACCGCAAGACCTTCGCGGAGCTGGAGGTGGTGCTGCAGCCCGAGCGGCGCTGGGGGCTCATCGAAGCGGCGCACCTGGGCCCGGGCGGCACTCACCACACCCAGCATCAGACTTGGCACGACTTGTCCAAGACGTACTGGTGGCGAGGTAGGATCTCGCCCGCGGCAAGGGGGCGGGCTGGCGGCTTGTCCAGACAAGGCCCGACGACTGAGGCGGGCCTGGGCCTGTTTGCAGAACTGCAAGTTTGAGGGTCCCTCACCCCGCTTTTCAGACGCCCCCCGCCGGCCCAGCCTACGCTCGCGGTGGCGCGGCTGCCAGGCGGAGCCGAGAGGGTGAGGGACGGGAAAGGAGCCGCACTTCCCACAGGAAGGAGGCCTGGGAAGCTAGGGGCGGGCCCTGACCCGGGGTGGGGCGATGGGGGCTTCGTCGGGGGCGGGCCGGACGCGGGGTGGGGGCGGGACTCGCGAGTGGTGCCGGCCCGCCTCCTTCCCTCAGGGGAAGGTTCTGGGCGGCAGGCGGCGGTTGCTCGAGGCTGCGCGTTGTGCCTTTTAAAACCTTGTTTGTGCTGATGGATGGGGGAGTGACGGTCGGCCCAAAGCCCGGCTCCTTTTCCTGGCGTGTTCCGCTCGGGTTTTAGGCAGCGGGTTTGAGGTTCGCTGGACCCGCTTACCCGTATTCCTCAAGCTGTGGTGCTGCGGCGTAAATAAGGGATATTGTAATTATGTGCTGAAGTGATTTGAAGTAACTGGAAACAGTCATCTTGAACTTCGTTTTTTAGGGCAAGAATTCAATGTGGAGAATAGCAGATTCTCCTGTTTTAATGTTCTTCCTTTTAACGATGAAAAGCGCTTTGGAAACTGAGGCACTGTATATATCTGGGAAAATCCGGTTACCGTGATTGTTATAGTCGAAGTAGAGCTCTAAAGTTCTGACTCCTTGGGAACCAGTGTAGGGGAGGAGCACGAGCCTTTGGAGTCACGGAACGGGAACGGTCATTGTATCCCACACACTGGGAGGGAGGTTTTGAGCAGCTGACAGGAGCGAATTGTTCAACTTTGTAGATAGATCTCTAGAGCAGTGCTTCTCAGCCCGGGGCGATTTCGTCCCCCAGGGGACATGTGGCTATGTCTGGAGACAGTTTTGGTTGTCATAACCGGGGTTTTATTGGCATTCAGTTGGGTAGAGGTCAGGGCTGCTAAACATCATACAATGCACAGGACAGGATAGCCCCCCTCCCCCACACGAGTCATCTGGCCCCAAATGTCAGCTCTGCTGAAGTTGCGAAACCTTGCTCTTGGAGTAACTTATTCAAGTTGTTTTATTAGAGAACTACTCACTAAAGATCACTCATTTTTTAGTTGTTCTGAGTCTTCACTGAATAAAGACTTTTAATGGTAATTGGTGTTTTATGGGGGCTTGTTTGTCTGTACCAGAGAAGTTGACCGGTGAGCATTATTTAACACACTTGTGTAGTAGTTACTGTGTGTCAGACACTGTTCAAAGTGTTTATGAATAGTAACATTTAAACCAGTTGATGACACACAGGCACAGAGAGGATTGGAGACTTGGCCATGGACGCAAGGCTAGTTAGAAGATTCATATTTTGCTACATAAGTAATTTCAGCCTGTTGCAGTAATTTCCCACTCTTAAATAGTAAATTAACTATGTTTACACATTGATGTATTTTGAGTGGTTAACTTGAGTTAGATTCTTTCACCTTATCAACTCTGCATCTGTAAAGTTAGATTTTAAATGATCCCATCAAAACACTAATACTCAAATTAAAGGACTTATAAAACATAATAGGGTGATTTTTGGGACAGTTGACTATCATACATTAAAACCATTTTTTCCCTGCAGTATTTTTCTTCCTGTTCAAATGCTTCTGTGTGAATACCATTTGAACTCAACTAGTTAATAGTTTAATCAAACCTCTGCTGTATGCAGAATATACTAAATTGTGTAGAGTCATAAAATGTTTAGAAATACAATAAAAGTTAATTAGAAAAACTGCCTGTTTTTGTCTTCTTAGTTTATTTTGGACATGGAAATTTCCATAGCAGCCCTAAGTGTGTTTTTTACTTAGAAATATACTTAGCTATCTTCTGTTATATCTTTCTTCTCACATTCACACACTCATTTACTTTTTTTACTGTGGCAAAATATACGTAACAAAATTTACCATTTTAAGTGTATAATTCACTGGAGTTAAGTACATTCAGATTTTTGTGTAATCACAACCATTCATCTTTAGGAATTTTCTTCATCCCAACCTATTTACTCTTATTTGTTGTTACAAAGAGAATGAGTTATCTTTCATCTTTTCTTTTTTTTTTAACAGAAAATGAACATCTTTTTTTAATCCTCATCTGAGGACATTTTTGCATTTATTTTCAGATAGAGCAGGAGGGAGAAAGGGAGAAGGAGAGAGACAGAAACATTGATGTGAGAGAGAGACATCAACTGTTTGCCACCCCCACGACCCCAACCCGGGCCAGGGGCGAACTGCAACCTAGGTAAGTGCCCTTAGTGGGAACTGAACCTGGGACTCTCTGGTCCACAGGCCGACGCTCTAACTGCTGAGCTAAAATGGCCAGGGCTGAACATCATTTTCATTTACTCTTAATTGTATGTAAAATATATATCCATCCAGCGTTTTTATTGTTTTATTTTTTAAAACCTACTCACTGTATCTCATACAGATATAGACTTGTTATGGACTTCAATATTTTCAGATGTTAGAGTAGAACTTCTGTTGCTTTCTAAATCTATGCATATGTAAATGCCTTTTTTTTTTTTTTTTTTTTTTTTTTTTACAGATAGAGTGGGAGGGAGAGAGAGGAAGGGAGAGAGAGTGAGAAACATCAACGTGAAGGGACACATCGAGGGGCTGCCACCCGCATGACCAACCAGGGCCGGGGACAAACTGCAACCGAGGCACATGCCCTTAGCGGGAACCGAACCCGGGTCTCTCCGGACCGCAGGCCGACGCTCTAACTGCTGAGTCAAACCGGCCAGGGCTGTAAATGCCTTTTAAATGAGTTATATTTAATCTTAATGTATTATTTTCCAAGTTATGTTCTGCTCAAAAATGGTATTCTGTGAACAGACAAATTTGGCGAATTTCTAGGTTAAACAGGTTTTTTTTTACTGTAGAACTTAGAGCTTTTTAATATGATAATATCTATTGTGTGTATCCAAAATGAGAATATAATTTCTGAATTTATTAGTCCAGTGTATACTTTTTTAGTAAGTATGGGATATAATATAATTTGAGGAATACTGCTTGACTACTCTGAAAGTTGAAAGCAAGGAACTTGGTATATTTTGATATCTTGAAACTCTTTTCAGGAATTTATTATATACCTCTGTATCATTATAGCTAATTAATGAGCCTTTTCATTTGCCATTTTATTTGGGGATTGTGGGGGAAGAAGTGTCTGACACAGGGATGGACAAATGTGTTCCTGGGTAAGTAGTGTAATATACTGAAAATTACATGGCTTCTGGCGGCCCAGATATGCAATTTACTAGATGTGACTTTGGACAAGTTACTTGCCTCTTAGGGCTTCATTGTCCCACTATGTAGAATGAGAATTAATTGGTCCTAATTTATAAGGATGATGGGTGTTTGTGTGTGTAGTAAATCCTCATTTAATGTCCTCGACTTTAAGCAAAACAATGTATAACCAAATCACTTTTACCATAGGCTAATTGATATAAACAAGAGCTAAGTTTCTGTTTAACTCTTCATCTCATCAGTGTTATAATGAACCAACATTAAACAAAACCATGTTCTTCAAAGACCTGCTATGTATAAAAAGTGTTCTTCCCTGATCCCTGCTCCCACCCCAACATGCTGGCCTGGAAGTTGAAATTCAAAATGGGGTTTTGAGAGTGGCTTGTGTACATTCAATGTTTATTAGTTGTGCATGTTGTTATTTCATATAAACCTAAAATCTTGGGAAAGGGAGAAAAGGGGACATCTGTAATAGTGTTAACAATAAAAAAAAAAAAAAAAAAAAAAGGCTAAAATCTCATAGCTTTCGAAAACATGAGATTTATTTTTATTTACTTATTTTTTATCCTCACCCGAGGACATTTTTTTTCATTTTTTGTTCACGTAGAGTGGGAGGGAGAGAGAGTAAGAGCGAGAGAGTGAGAAACATCAACGTGAAAGGGACACATTGAGTGGCTGCCACCTGCATGACCAACCAAGGCTGGGGAAATACTGCAATCGAGGTATGCGCCCTTAGCGGGAACTCAACCCAGGTCTCTCTGGACTGCAGGCCGACGCTGTAACCACTGAGCAAAACTGGCCAGGGCGAGATTTATTTTATAATATGATTACAAGGTTTGGTTGTAGATTGTCCCCAACTGTCTTTTTTTATCTGTAGTTTAGGCTAAAGGACAGCATTCATCTGGAACATGTTCTGTGAGAGGGGATAAAATTCAGAAAACTGATGGAAAACAGTGCCTCTTAAGCTTCTAATGAGACATGGCCCATGTCATATCCATTGACCAAAGCAAATTGCATGGTCAAGCCTGATGTTAGTAGGGTGGAGGGGTATTAACTTGAGCTACATTATATTACTGTTTATGAAGGTCAAAAACAGCTGAATATTAGCAGTTTTATGTAGTTCCTATTGTGTGAATGAGTAGTAACTCACATGAAAATGGGCAGTGCTACATAGTGGTGGTGAAGTGAATAACTAGGAATAAACAACAAGAGTCTACTTTAGCATGAAAAGAAACCATCATTTATAACCTTATATCTTTAAAAATAAGTATTTTATATTCTAAAGAACTTATTCACTATATGTACTGTATGGGGCATGTTTGTGTCCACACATATGCACTGGAACATACATAATAAGTACACACAGAGTAAATAATCATCAATATAATTTTCAGTTTTTAAATGAGAGCAGTATTAAATTTGACTTGTAATTTTTATTTTTACTGTAGGTATATTAAAGCAAGTCAAAGATTACATTAAACAGTGTAGCAAATGCCAGGAGAAACTAGATCGTTCCCGTCCAATATCAGATGCTTCAGAAATGTTGGAAGAATTGGGACTAGACCTTGAATCTGGAGAAGAAAGTAATGAATCAGAGGACGACCTGAGCAACTTTACTTCAACTCCAACTACAGCTTCCAAGCCTGCAAAAAAGAAGCCAATATCTAAACATGAACTTGTATTTGTAAGTGGAACTTTTCATTCAGCTTTAACATGTGTAACTAGTATATTAGTGATTGTAGGCTTTGTGATTTTTTTTCTTAAACTACTAAAACTGCTTGAGCATTGAAGATTTAAGCAGGTCTGTGTCTAAGGCAATGTGCTATGTTGTTACAAACAATAATAGAATGCTAATACTCTTTATTAATCATAAATATTCTTATTGTTTATTCTCTTCAGAATGTAACTAGTTAATCACTCCTCTCTTCTTTTCTAATGGTATATTGTTACATGTAGAATACATTTCTGGGTCATGCAGCAAGGTAAAATTAAGCTGACTAGCTCTCTGATTTTTGCCTGCATTTGTTTCATATGTCATCATATTTCAGGCCAATAAGAGGCAGCAAGAAGTGAGATGCAGGGTTTCATGAGGTCAAGAAGCATGAGCATAGCAGAAAAGAGTAAGAACAGCGGATCTTTTCATTTAAATATGTAGGTAATAAAGAAAGAATATCAGGCTGTTTCTTTATATTAATTAGTGGTATATGTTAAAAGGGAAGGATGTGTCTTGTCTTAAATTTTGTTAAGGATAGAAATACAGATGATATATAATACAACTCTTGGTCTCAAACTTATTTTGATAGGTTGATACCAAAGGAGTGGTGAAACGTTCTTCTCCAAAACATTGTCAGGCTGTCTTAAAACAGCTGAATGAACAGAGACTCTCCAACCAGTTCTGTGATGTTACTTTGTTAATTGAAGGAGAAGAATACAAAGCTCACAAATCTGTTTTGTCAGCTAATAGTGAATATTTTCGAGATCTTTTTATTGAGAAAGGAGCTATTTCCAGTCATGAGGCAGTGGTGGATCTTTCTGGTAAGAATTTTCTAATACTCTTGTTTTTTGTTTATAAATACATACTGGAAGAGGGGTGTATGTGTGTGTGCTTCTTACAAACTCAGGATTTATGCTAAAGTGGGAGAAGCCCACTTATAGCCGCAGAGTAAACTGAACTGGAAAGGTCCTTTCTGTTAGCAAAGTTTTCAAAGTAGATTTATGGAGAAGGCTGTCATTTCATATCACTGCTCTTAGGTGAGACAATTGTAGCAGTAGAATATCTGGAATTTACACAGTTAAAAACAGTGTGAGCCCTGGCCGGTTTGGCTCAGCGGTTAGAGCGCCAGCCTGCGGTCCTGAGAGACCTGGGTTCGGTTCCCGCTAAGGGCATGTACCTCGGTTGCAGTTTGTCCCCGGCTCTGGTCAGTCGTGCGGGTAGCAGCCACTCGATGTGTCCCTTCACATCGATGTCTCTCTCTCTCTCTCTCTCTGTTCCTCTCTCTCCCTCCCACTCTACCTGAACAAAAAATGGAAAAATGTCCTCAGGTGAGGATAAAAAAAAAAAAATAAATAAAAAAAAAAACAGTGTGAGCCTGGCTGGTGTGGCTCAGTAGATTGAGTGTTGTCCCATGGACTGAGAGGTCCTGGTTCCATTCCCTGTCAGGGCACATGCCTGGGTTGTGGGCTCAGTCCCCAGAATGGGGCATGAAGGATGCAGCCGATGTATCTATGTTTCTCTCTCGGATGGATGTTTCTATCACTCTCTCCCTTCCTCTCGCTCTAAAAAAAATCAATGAAAACATATTTTAAGAGTTAAAAAAAAAAACAGTTTGAGGAAAGCCATGGCTGTGTCAGTGTTATTATACTGATTATGTTATTTAAAAAGTGACTACCGCCCTGACCAGTTTGGCTCAGCGGTTAGAGTGTCGGCCTGCGGTCCTGAGAGACCCGGGTTCGGTTCCCGCTAAGGGCGCGTACGTCGGTTGCAGTTTGTCCCCTGCCCTGGTCGGTTGTGCGGGTGGCAGCCACTCGATGTGTTCCTTTCACATCGATGTTTCTCTCTCTCTCTCTCTCTCCCTCCCACTCTACCTGAACAAAAAATGGAAAAATGTCCTCGGGTGAGGATTAAAAAAAAAAAGTGACTACCTATATAGTATTATGTTGTGGAACATGGAATTATAGAGCACTTTTGTAGGTCTGGTTTTTGTTTTTTAAGATTAATCATTAGAACTCATTAGGATCAATAATCAAACTGTCATTGTAGAATAATGAGAATTCTAGGTGTGGGTTTTGTTGTTGTTGTCATTGTTCTTTTGTTTTGTCATTGTAAATGAGTAATTTGACTTTTGTTTTTGGCCTTACTAGAACTTATATAAGGGCTTAGGAGTCAATAAATGAAAATTTAGGAAGAATTAAAATAGCTAACCTTATATATTCACTTTCTCATAATATTAATTTGCTGCAACTCTTGAATTATTGACATCACTGTGTAAAGTGTCATTTCCTTTTTCTGAAACAAAAAAATGACTTTATCCAGGTATATAAACACTTAACCTAGTTAACCACTGATCCTTTTCTATCTTATAATTTTTAATTAAAAAATGTTTTTATTGACTTTTTAGAGAGAAGAAGGGAGAGAGAGCTATAAACATCTATGTGAGAGAAACATCAATTGGTTGCCTCCTGCATGCACCCCACTGGGGATCAAGCTCACAACCTGGGCATGTGCCCTGATTGAGAATCGAACTGGGACCTCTCAGTCCATGTGACAACTCTCAAGCCACTGAGCCACACCAGCTGGGTATCTACCTTATAATTTTTAAACTCATTTCTTCTGGGAAGACAAATACATGTATTTTTTCTTAGCAGTATCTATATGTTTAATTACTAAAAATTATTTATTACGCATCCATTGTCTGAGGAACTAGCTTGGCTCTGGGACTACAATGGTGAGCAAAAGCTTTTATGGAGCACAGAGTTGCATTACATTCTAGATTAGTGGTGTTTGCTTTTCTCTGGGTTTGATGATTCAGGAGAAACATATGTCTTATAGTGGGCCTTATGAATAATAAAACTCATCACAGGTATAGTCTTTTGCTATGTTAGCTCTGGAATCTTTTTCCTGTCTTCATGCATCTGAAGTAGAAGGAAGCATGAGTGTTACTCTGCCCCAAAATAATTGTAATACAGACCTGGCCGGTTTGGCCAGCGGTTAGAGCGTCGGCCTGCGGTCCAGAGAGACCTGGGTTCGGTTCCTGCTAAGGGCATGTACCTCGGTTGCAATTTGTCCCCAGCCCTGGTTGGTCGTGCGGGTGGCAGCCACTCGATGTGTCCCTTTCACATCGATGTTTCTCTCCCTCTCTCGTCCTCTCTCTCCCTCCCACTCTATCTGAACAAAAAATGGAAAAATACCCCTGGCCAGTTTGGCTCAGCTGTTAGAGCATAGGCTTGCGGTCCCGAGAGACCCGGGTTCGGTTCCCACTAAGGGCGCGTACCTCGGTTGCAGTTTGTCCCCAGCCATGGTTGGTTGTATGGGTGGCAGCCACTCGATGTGACCCTTTCACGTCGATGTTTCCCCCTCTCTCTCTCTCTCCCTCTCTCTCCCTCCCACTCTACCCGAACAAAAAATGGAAAAATGTCCTCGGGTGAGGATAAAAAATAATAAAATGAAATAAAATAAAATTTAAAAAAAAAAAAAGGAAAAATGTCCTTGGGTGAGGATTAAAAAAAAAAAAAATTTGTAATACAGCCTCCTAATATTAAAAAAAACCCAGCTCATTTATTCAATCCATGTGCTTATTTTTATGTATGTTCAGCAAATATGATGTAAGCCAATAGTAGGTGAAGTAGACATTAAAATTTTTTGTTTAGCCCCCACCTCCTCTCTAAAATCAATAAAGAAAAAAAAATTTGTTAAAATATTTTAGTTTGATTTAAATACTAAGTATGTAAAGAGTGTTTATAAAATGTGTGCAGTATTTTTAAAATGTACATCTGTTTTTTTTAATTACCTAGCTTAATGTACTTGAATTCATCATTGTTTTTCTTTTTTGTTTGTTTGTTTTTATCTTTATTGTTGAATGTATTACAGATGTTCCTCATTTTTCCCCCATTGACCCCCTCCTCCCCACTCCCGCCCCCCTCCTGTCTTTTTCCACACTGTTGTCTGTGTCCATTGGTTATGCATATAAGTTCTTTGGCTTATTTCTTCCCACCCCCCCGACCCCCTTCCCTTTGAGGTTTGTCAGTCTAGCAACCAATTTGTACTTCTTAATCCCTTCACCTTTTTCACCCATTCCCCCAACCCCCACCCATCTGGCAACCAACAAAATGTTCTCTGTGTCTATGAGAGTGTTTCTGTTCTGCCTGTTCATTTTGTTTGTAGATTCCATTGTCAATAGATATGTATTCATTGCCATTTTATTTGTTCATATATTTTATCATTTTCTTCAAAAAGACCCTTCAACATTTCATATAATAACGGTTTGGCGGTGACGAACTCCTTTCACTTTTTCTGTCTGGGAAACTCTTTATATGGCCATCGATTCCAAATGATAGCTTTGCAGGATAGAGTAATCTTGGTTGTAGGTTCTTGCTTTTCATCACTCTGAATATTTCTTGCCACTCCCTTCTGGCCTGCAAAGTTTCTTTTGAGAAATCAGCTGACAGTCTTATGGGAAGTCCCTTGTAGGTAACTAACTGCTTTTCTCTTGCTGCTTTTAAGATTCTCTCTTTGTCTTGAACCTTTTGCATTATTATTATTTTTTTATCCTCACCTGAGGACACCCCTCCATTTTTTGCTCTGATAGAGTGGGAGGGAGAGAGAGGAAGAGAGAGAGAGAGGGAAACATCAACGTGAAAGGAACACATCAAGTGGCGGCCACCCACATGACTAACCCGGGCCAGGACAAACAGCAACCGGGGTAAGTGCCCTCAGCAGGAACCGAACCCGGGTCTCTCTGGACCACAGGCCGATGCTCTAACCGCTGAGCAAAATCGGCCAGGGCAAACCTTTTGCATTTTGATGATGATGTGTCTTGGTTTGGGCCTCTTGGGGTTCATCTTGTTTGGGACTCTGTGCTTCCTGGACTTGTATGTCTGTTTCCTTCACCAAGTTAGGGAAGTTTCCTGCCGTTATTGTTTTATATAGCCTTTTGGTTTCTTGTTCTATCTCTTCTTCTGGCACTCCCAAGATGCGAATGTTGGCACGCTTGAAGTTGTCCCAGAGGCTCCTTACACTATCCTCATATTTTTGTATTCTTTTTTCTTTTGGCTGTTCTGATTGGGTGTTTTTTGCTTCCTTTATATTCCAAATCGATGATTTGCTTGTTGGCTTTACCTACTCTACTATTGAATCTGTGTAAATTATTCTTTATTTCAGTTAGTGCCTCCTTCATTCTGACTGTGCATCCTTCATTTCTGACTGGTCTTTTTGTTATGCTCCTGAGGCCCCTACTAAGTTCACTGAGGTTCTCACTAAGTTCATTGAGCATCCTTATAAGCAGTATTTTGAACTCAGCATCTGTTAGGTTGCTTATCTTCATTTTGCTTAGTTCTTTTCCTAGGAGATTTTGTCTGTTCTTTCATTTGGGACCTGTTTATTTGTCTCCTCATTTTGGCTGCCTCCCTGTGTTTGTTTCTGTGTATTACTTAATGAGAGGTATGGGGCTAGCTGAGACCAGATGCTGCTTGTTTGAAAGAATTTAGGAAAAACCTGAAGCCGGATCCAAGATAGGCCAATCCTATGGTTAAGCAACTGGCAACAGCTTGGGTGGGCCTGAAAGTTGGGTGGGGCGGGGCCTCAGGAATCACCAGGGCAGGGCAACCAGTGTGAACCAGGTTGCTGGAGTCCCAGATGTGGTGGTTGTCTGCTGCCCCAGGGAAGGGCTCACCAAAGGAACAAAGGCCTCTGACAACACATTTTTCCGGGAGAAAGCCCCCTCTCCAGCCCTCGCTTCAATGCCAAACAGCTCAGTTCTTCCCTGTATGTTTTTGTTGCCCCTCTAGCTGCCTCCCCTCCAAGGTTAGAGGGAGTGAGTCTGATAAGTCCATACGCAGGCGCTTTAAGAGGAGCTGCCTTGGGCTCCAGCCGCCTCAGCCTCCCTGAGCCTCGGTTCCCACTGGTTTTTCCAGCCAGAAGTTATGGAGACTTATTTTCCTGGCACTGGAACCCTGAGCGGGGTTCCTGCTATGGTACGGAGACCCCTCGGTCGTCAGAGAGGATCTTCCCAGACAAGGTATCCTTTTGATTTTTATCCGCCACATGTGGGTGTGGGACCAGCCTGTCCGCCTCTGCCCCTCCTACCAGTCTTCACGCGTCTTCTTTAATTTCGTAGTTGTAGGACTTCCATTCAGCTTGATTTCAGGCGGTTTTGAATGATGGTGGTTCTGTAGTTTAGTTGTAACTTTGATGTGGTTGTGGGAGGACGTGATAGGGTGTTTACCTATGTTGACATCTTGACCGGAAGTCTCCATTGCTTTTCTTTATGTTGTTTATACTTAAAAATGTATTGCCATGGTCAGTGTGGCTAAGTGCTTAGAGCATAAGCCTGAGCACCTAAGGGTCTGGGGTTCGATCCCCGGCCCTGGTTAGGGCTCATGTGGGAGGCAACTCATCCATATGTCTCTCACACATTGATGTCTCTCTCTTTCTCCCCCCTCTTCCTTTCCTCCCCCCTTTCTCCCTTCCACTCTAACTAAAAATCAGTGGAAAAAAATATATCCTCAGGTGACGATTAAACACAAAAAATTCTTTCCTACTCAAAGATACTTCATATATTGTCTTTTGAAATTTTTCTGTGTTTTTTTTTCATATTTAACTTTTAATCTATTTGGAATATTCTTTTTGGTGTGAGATAAGCGTTTGATATCAACCCCCCCCCCCCCCATTTTGATCATCATTTGTCTCAGAACCATTCTGAGACAAGTGAAAACTCTGTTCTCTTCCCTCCCAAAGATCATGCAAATTCTCTTATAGTCCTGGCCTTTTGTATAAATTGCTGTTTAGTTTGCTAATATTATTTAAAACATTTGCATCAATCTTCATGGGTAGATTTTATTTTTTCACATTGTTTCAATCACTTTTTTTAAAATTTTTTTATCCTCACCCGAGGACATTTTTCCATTTTTTGTTCAGATAGAGTGGGAGAGAGAGAGGGAGAAACATCGACGTGAAAGGGACACATCGAGTGGCTGCCACCCGCACAACCAACCAGGGCCAGGGACAAACTGCAACCGAGGTACATGCCCTTAGCAAGAACCGAACCCCGGTCTCTCTGGACCGCAGGCCGACGCTCTAACCGCTGAGCCAAAACGGCCAGGGCTCAATCACATTTTGATATCAGAAGTGGTTCTTAAAAAATGTGTGTTCCAAAACCATACTTTCAAGGATCATTTCTATAGTTCATTACTAGAGAAGTTTCTCTGAATGTGTAGAGCGCCTGAAATCACGAGGAGGAGGTGTGCAGTGTTTTCTCCTGAGGGTGAAGCCAGCTTCTGGTATTGCTTATGCAACTGCCTTTGGCCATTGATGATGATTCTTCTCTCTCACTGGGGGAGTCAGAGGGAGAAAATGAAGTCTGAGTGGTTTTTTGGGGGATAAAAAAAGTGTGTTCCCTGCAATTTTTATATATACTGGAATAGTTTCTATGAGGTTAGAATTGTTTGTTTCTTGCATGTTTGGTAGAATGGTGGCTAAAATTGCCTGCGCCTAAAGTGAATTTGGGGAGAAAATTTTATTTTTATTTATTTATATTTTTTTGAGAAGACTTTTTAATTTTTTTTTCCTTTTATTGATTTTAGAGAGAGAGGAAGTGAAAGGGAGAGAGAGAAACATTGATGAGAGAGAACATCAATTGGCCTCCTCCTGCATGGCCCTGTACTGAGGATTGGGCCCACAACCTGGGAATGTGTTCTGACCAAGAATTGAACCGGCGACCTTTTGGTGCATGGGTCTACCCTCAGCCACTGAGCCACATCAGCCGGACTTGAGAAGACTTTTAACTTCTAATTTGACGAGTTTAATGGTTAGGGAATTATTCATGTTTTCTATTTCATCTTGAGTAATTTATAAAAAGTTATATTTTTACCAGAATTTGTCCATTTCATCAAAATTTTCAAGTTTGTTGGCATAAAAATTTTTACTAATAGTCTCTTCTAAATGTCTCCAGTGACTTTAGATATGTCTGTTTTATTTTTTGATACCAATATTTTGTGCCTTTTCTGTCACTTAAAAAATTTTTTTATTAAGGTTTACTTTTCTTTTCTAACTCTGCTAAAGCAAGGTATAGTTTGCAGGCCAAATCTGGCCCACTGCCTGTTTTTGTAAATAAAGTTTTATTGGGAGACAACCACACTCATTCATTTACATATTGCCAAAGGTGGTTTTGAGTTTACAAGGACAGAATTGAATAGTTGCTACATAAATTAATGACCCACAAAGTCTAAATATTTGCTTATCTGGCTCTTTACAGAAAAACTTTCCTTACTCCTATGCCAAAGCATAATTTTTTAAACGTTAAAAACCTGCTTTTTTGTCCGGCCAGTGTGGCTCAGTGGTTGAGCATCAACCCATGCACCAAGAGGTTGCCGGTTCAATTCCCAGTCAGGACACGTGCCCAGGTTGTGGGCCCCATCCCCAGTGGGGGGCATGCAGGAGGCGGCCAATCAATGTTTTCTTTCATCGATGTTTCTCTCTCTCCCTCCCTCTCCTTTAATCTCTCTCTAAAATCAGTAAAGGAAAAAATTTTTTAAATGCTAAGCATCCTGTTACTATTTTGGTTAGACATTAATAAACTGATCACTAAAAAAAATTAAAACAAGAAACCCCCTGCTTTTTATGCAAGTATAGTCCAAAATTTTTGCGTAATTAATTGAGGAAATCAGTAAGATGTTAACACTGTTTCTAATAGAATTTTCAAGAAAAGAATTGCTTTTAGCCAAAGGAATGTTGAAATGAATTTGCCAGTAGATGACTGGTTAAAACCCCACAGGGAAATAAACTATAAGTTTTGGGTTAACTTTCCTACCATGATTGAAATAGCTTCTCAGTCTTTCACAATTCATTTACATTTGCTATCACTTTTATATAAGTTAGTTCTTACAGAATTGCAAAATAATCTAGTCACCCAAGGACATTTTTCCATTTTTTGTTCAGATAGGGTGGGAGGGAGAGAGAGGGAGGGAGAGAGAGGGGGAGAAAGAGAGAGAAAGAGAAAGAAACATCGACGTGAAAGGGACACATAGAGTGGCTGCCTTCCGCACAACCCAACCAGGGCCAGGGACAAACTGCAATCGAGGTACGTGCCCTTAGCGGTAACCGAACCCAGATCTCTCTGGACCGCAGGCCGACACTCTAACTGCTGAGCCAAACTGGCCAGGGCCAGTTGTTTTCTTTTATTATTTTCTGCTCTTTATTATCTTTCTCTTACTTTTGGGAGGCATATGCTCTCTTCTTTTGTTAAGTGGTTTAGCCCATTAACTCCCACCTTTTCTTCTTTTCTAGTTTAAGCATTCAAGGCTATAAATTTCCCTTTAATACTGCAGATTTGTTGACACTTGCTTTTAACTCTACAAGTGGTCTGTTTTTACATTTCACTTTGCTTAAATTGAATGTGAGTTTTTTTTCATTTGGATGCAATATGCAGTATATTGTGAATTAACTCAAGATGATTAATTGCTACTACTTTTATTTACTGATTATTTTGTGTTCTTGATCTATCCATGGCTGACAGGTGCTTTAGAATATTAACTAGTGTGATTCATTTGTCTATTTCTTACTGAGTTTAATTTTTGTTTTATGTATTTGAGGCCATGTTATTACATGCATATAAATTTAGAATTATGGCTGTATGATAAAACAGCCTTTGATCATTATGTAGTGACCCTCTTTAGTGATGCTTTTCACTTTTTTTTTTTTTATCCTCACTCAAGGACATTTTTGCATTTATCTCCAGACAAAGCGGGAGGGAGAGAGGGAGGAAGAGAGAGAGAGAGAAACATCAATGTGAGAGAGAGACATCAACTGGCTGCCACCCACACAACTCCAACTGGGGCCAGGGACAAACCGCAACCGAGGTATGTGCCCTTAGCGGGAACTGAACCCGGATCTCTGTGGACCACAGGCCAACGCTCCAACTGCTGAGCCAAACCAGCCAGGGGCACTCTTAAAGTCGATGTTGGATGCTATTGTAAATAATATTTTCCATTTTACCTACGAGTGTAGATATTTTTTAGTTATGCAAACAATATTTTTGTTACTATTTGCCTAGGATATCTTTCCTCTATCTCTTATTTTCAACCTTTTTTAAATCTTTTTTGTTTTGTTTTTTAAATCTTCACCCAAGGATATTTTTCCATTTATTTTCAGACAGAGTGGAGAGAGAGAGAAGGAGAGAGAGAGAAACATAGATGTGAGAGGCACATCGACTGGTTGCCTCCTGCACAACCCTGACCAGGGCCGGGGACTGAACTGCAACCTAGGTACGTACCCTTGACTGGAATCAAACCCATGACTCTCTTGTCCACTGGCTGACACTCTGACCACTGAGCCAAACTTGTCAGGGCTTTTTTTGTATCTTTTTTAATCCTCACCCGAGTGTATCTTTTTTTTTTTAATTTTTTTAATCCTCACCCGAGGACATTTTCCATTTTTTGTTCAGATAAAGTGGGAGGAAGAGAGAGAGAGAAACATCAATGTGAAAGATACACATTGAGGGGCTGCGTCCTGCACTACCCAACCAGGTCCAGGGACAAACTTCAACCGAGATATGTGCCCTTAGCAGGAACTGAAACTGGGTCTCTCTGGACTGCAGGCTGATGCTCTAATCACTGTGCCAAACCAGCCAGGGCCCGAGTATATCTTTTTTACCATTTATCTTCAGATAGAGTGGGAGGGAGAGAGGGAGATGAGGGGAGAGAGAGAGAGAGAGAAACAGAAACTTCCATGTGAGAGAGACACATCAACTGGTTGCCTCCCACACGACCCCAACCAGGGCCAGGACTGAACCACAACCGAGGTACATGCCCCTGACTTGAATCGAACCCACAACTCTTTGGTCCGCAGGCAGATTCTCTAACCACTGAGCCAAACCAGCCAGGGCTATTTATTTTTATTTTTTTAAAATTGCAGTTTACAGCCCAGCTGGTGTGGCTCAGTGGTTGAGCATTGACTCATGCACCAAGAGGTTGCTGGTTTGATTCCTGGTCAGGGCACATACCAGGTTATGGGCCCACTCCCCAGGGGGGAAACATGCAGGAGGCAGCCAATTGATGTTCGCTCTCATCGATGTTTCTCTCTTTCTCTCCCTCTCCCTTCTTCTTTCTCTAAAACCAATAAAGAAAAAAAATGCAGCTTATGTACAATATTATTATTGTTATTTGTTGATGTTAATCCTCACCCGAGGATATTTTTCCATTAATTTTTTTAGATAGAGTGGAAAGGAGGGAGGGGGAGAGACAGAGAGAAACATCAATGTAAGACACATCAATTAGTTGCCTCTCGCATTAGCCTGACTAGAGCCTGGGATGAAACCTGCAACCCAGGTACGTGCCTCTGACCAGGAATTGAACACTCAACTTTTTTGTCATCAAACTGATCCTCTAGCCACTGAGCCAAACCGGCCAGGGCATACAATATTATTTTATTAGTTTCAGGTGTACAGCATAGCGGTTAGACAATCATATACTTTACAAAGTGTTCGCCCTGATATTTCCAGTACCCACCTGGCACTGTACATAGTTATAATATTGATTATATTTCCTATCTGTATGTACATTTTTTTAAAATATGTTTTTACTGATTTTAGAGAGAGAGAAAGGGAGAAGAAGGAGATAAAGAGTGAAAAACATGGATGTGGGAGAGAAACATCAATCAGCTGCCTTCCTGCACTCCCCCTACTGGGGATTGAGCCTGCAAACTGAGCATGAGCCCTGATCTGAAACAAGCTGGTGACCTCTTGGTGCATGGGATGATGATCCACCAACTGGGCCCTTTGCTGTACTTTTAGAAGTCTCTTTAAACGTCATATATTTGGATTTTGTTCTTTATCTGGTTAAAAGGATCTTTGACTTTAAACTGTCTTGCATGGAAATTGTTGGGCTTCCTGAACCCAGTAATTGAGTTTGTTGTCTTTTATTAGTTGAGAAAAACTCTCAGCCAGTATCTCTTCAAAAACTGTCTCTGCCTCTTTCTTTTTTCTACCTTTCTGAAATTCCAAATAGATGGATATTCTCACTTTATATTCTGTGTCTCTTAATCTCTCTTTTATATTTTGTTCATTTCTTTGTAGATTATTTTAGAAAATTCTAGTCTCTTTTTTTTTTTTTTTAATCCTCACCTGAGGACACTTTTCCATTTTTGCGCAGACAGAGTGGGAGGGAGAGAGAGGAAGGGAGAGAGAGTGAGAAACATCGATGTGAAAGGGACACATCAAGTGGCTGCCACCCGCACGACCAACCAGGGCCGGGGACAAACTGCAACCGAAGCACGTGCCCTTAGCGGGAACCGAACCCGGGTCTCTCCGGACCGCAGGCCGACGCTCTAACTGCTGAGCCAAACTGGCCAGGGCGGAAAATTCTATTCTCTTTAGCTGGGTCTGATTTGCTATGAAATTTGAGTTTTTTATTCCCATTTATGTTTTCTATTTTTAGAGGTTTTATTTCAAATGTCTCTTTTAGGGAGCTACATTTTATGATCTTTTGCTCTATTGGTATGCCACCTTTTATTTTCCTTGTCTGATCATAACAGTACTTAAAATCTTTGCTGGTTTGGCCCTGCCCTGTGTGGCTTAGCGGATTAAGCATTGTCCCATCCACCAAGAGGTCACTGGTTTGATTCCTGGTCAGGGCACATGCCTTGGTTGCGGGATCAATCCACTGTGGGGGATGTGTGGGAGGCAGCTGATCAATGTTTCTCTCTCACATAGATTTTTTTCTCTCTCCCTTCTCTCTAAAACAATCAATAAAAAACAATATTAAAACATTTTTTAAAAATCTTTGCTGCTTTGACTTATGCTGTTTGTTTCTGCTCACTTTTGTTCATGGTGCCTTGTTTTTTTGTGACATAAAAAGAAAAAAAATTTATATAGCTCTACCCGATTTGGCTCAGGGGTTAGAATGTCGGCCTACAGACTGAATTGTCACAGGTTCGATTCCTGGTCAAGGGCATGTACCTGGGTTACAGGTTTGATCCCCAGTAGGGGTCATGCAGAAGGCAACCAATCGATGTGTCTCTCTCACATTGATGTTTCCATTTCATACTCTCTCCTTTCACTCTATCAAAAAATCAATGGAAAAATATTCTCAGGTGAGGATTAACAACAAAAAGAAAACAAACAAAAAAAATCTATATACATTGAATTCATAGTCTTTAGAATTTTATGGGAAATCTTTTGAGTCCTAGGTTGAAAGGTGCTTTCCACGGAGAAAACATTTGCTTCTTTGGATACTGAGGGCATTAGCAGTCTGGGACCACTTGAAATTCTAATCTTGAATTTTTTTTATGATTACCAAAATGCTAAATTAAGCTTGGCGTAATTTGGTGGGTCAATAAGTATATTTAAAATAATATTTTTTTAAAATATGTTTTTTGTCTTTATTGTTGAAAGTATTACAGATGTCCTCCCTCTTTTCCCCTATTTAAAAAAATTTTTTTAATTATTATTTATTGATTTCAGACAGAGGGGAAGGGAAGAGGAGAGAAAGAAAGATTTATGAGAGAGAACATCGATTGGCCGCCTCCTACCTGCCCCCCACTGGGGTCTGGCCCACAACTTGGGCATGTGCCCTGACTGGGAATTGAACTGGTGACCTCTTGGTGTATGTGTCAGTGGTTCAACCTCTAAGCCATACCGGCCGGGCCCTTTTTTTCCCCTATTGACCCTCTTCCCTGTTCCCTCCCTCCTGCCTTCCCCAAACTATTTTCTGTGTCCATTGGTTATGCATATAAGTTCTTTGGTTTATCTCTTTTCATCCCTCCAACCCCTAAAATATTTTTATCTAGTATTTTTTAAGTATATGGGGCCCTAGCTGGTGTGGCTCAGTGGTTGGAATGTCACATGTGCATTGAAGGGTCAAGGATTTGATTTCCTGGTCAGGGGCACATGCCTGGGTTGCAGGTTCGATTCCTGGCCCTGGTGGGACTGTGGTGAGGCAGCCAATTGATGTGTCTTTGTCATATCAATGTTTCTCTTCCTCTCTGTCCCCCCCCCAACCCACCCCCCATAATAAAAAGTCAGTGGAAAAAATATCCTCAGGTGAGGATCAACCCAAAAAAGTATATGGGTCCTTCCGGGCATCTTAGTCTACCATATTGCTGGCTATGGAAGTACTTGTCAAATTTTTATTTTATTTCTTTATTTTTTCCTTTATTAGTTTTAGAGAGAGGAAGTGAGAAGGAGAGAGGGAGAGAGAGAAACATCGATGAGAGAGGACACAGATTGGCCGCCTCCTGCATGTCCCCCCCTGGGGATTGGGCCCACAACCTGGGCATGTGTTCTGACCAGGAATCAAACTGGCGACCTCTTGGTGCATGGGTCGACAGTCAACCACTGAGCCACACTGGTCAGACCATAATTTTAAAATCTATACCTGCTGTCCATTTAAAATTTTTAAAAAATTTTTCATAAAAACATATAATGTAAAATTTCCTGGTCAGGTAGTGTGTCATCCCCATAGCCAAGGTTGCAGGTTTGATCCCCAGTCAGGAATCAACTACTGAATGCATAAATAAGTGGAACAACAAATCGATCTCCTTTCTCTCTCTCTCTCTCTCTGTCTCCCCCTCCCTCCCTCCCTCTCTTCCTCCCTCCCCCCTTCCCTTTCCCTCTCTCTCTAAAATCAATTTTAAAAAAATTTAATAGATGCCCAGCTGGTATGGCTCAGTGTATTGAGCGTCATCCCTTGCACCAAGAGGTCATGTTAGATTCCTGGTCAGGGCACGTGCCTGGGTTGCGGGCTCAATCCCCAGTAAAGGGACATGCAGGAGGCAGCTGATCAGTATTTCTCTCCCTCTCCCTTCCTCTCTAAAAATAAATAAAAACATATTTTACAAATTTATCTTAATGAATTTTAAGCGTACAATTCAGTAGTAGTAACTATATTCACATTGTTGTCTAGAACTTTTTCATTTTGCAGAATTATCCATTTTGTTTTTATTTACAGAGTGTATATATGTGTATGTAAAAAGGCTAGGGATAACAACAGAATGCCAAAATAATGTGTCTGTTATCTTTTAGCAGAAAGATTGTGAGTGATATTTTTATTTTCTTATTTTTTGTGTGTTTTACAGAGTTTTACAATAGAATATAACTTGTATCTTTAAGAAAATGGTTTTAGACATTCAGAATGTTATTTGGAACAGTGTTAATTCTTTTATGGGAAAGTTTTTATATGACTTCAAACTTAGAAATTAAAAAGATGCTAGGCAAAAGACCAATATACATTATTTTGTGGTATGTGTTCAAAGAAATATTTTTACTTACTTCAAGCTTATTTAACTTGATCTCTTAATTTATAGCAGGATTAATATGGCTACAGCCTATTTAATTACAGCTTTCATAGGAATGGCAGAATTAGCCATGATGATCATGTTGATGTGTAGTTCCCTCAGTTTTCAACCTGAGTCCTAATGTATCTTAGAGTTTAAGATTCCCTGTATACTTATCCATCCTGTCTGTCTATGTAAAAGGACCACATTTTATGAACCTTGAGTCAAAACTGAAAAACACAGCAAATGTGAGGTTTTAAAAGTTTGCTTTGGCGCTCTCTGTTTTAATAAAAGATCTTTAAGATAAATTATTGTATATGAAAAGTAAGCACAGTATAATGTAATAAAACATCTACTGTAAAGAGGGGAGTAAGAATATTTGCTTGACTCTATAAAGAAATTCTAGAAAGCTATACAGATTCTTAATCATACAGGTTATGGAGATGGAGTTGGACATATCACTATAATTTTCTGATTTTTGAATTGTGAATATTTAAAATGGCTTTTGAAAGCTAAATACTGAGAACTTAGAAAATAAACTGTTCTTATTTTCTCACATAAAATAATGTAATATCTCATGTGTATAGTAATTATTTTATTCCTTAGATTAGGGATAGACAGACTATAGCCCAATCCTTCTTTCGCTCATTTTTTGTAAATAAAGTGGTATTGGAACACAGCCAAACCCATTTGTGTATGTATTATCTATGGCTACTCTTTCTAGCTACAGTGACATAGTTGAGTGGTTGCAACAGACATCTTATGGCCTGCACTATTACTTATCTGATTCTTTACAGAAAAATTTTGCTGACTTCTTGCCTTAGACCTTGTTTTTAGAATTTTAGTAGTAGAACCCTTTGTTCACAATCAAAAGTTTATATGGACTTCTATTAAAATATACAGCTATACATATGAAGTGAGGTTAGGAGACAAGTTGGTTGAACCCTGCCTACTCACCTGCGTCCCTCTCTTTTTTTACCCTCCATTCTCCAGCAGCTGTTTCTTGAGGGGAATTTGAGGAACCCCCGGGGTTCTAAGGAGTACAGTTTGAAAATGACTGCCTTACAACAACTCTTTGAGGTAGTAAGTCTGATATTATTTTCTATTTTAGGTATTGAGAGACTCGGCTTATAGAAGTGAGTTAGTCAGGCTTAATAAGCAACCAGAACACAAAAACAAATCCAGGGTGTTTAATTGCAGAATAAATGGTCATGTTTGCCTTTATATTCTATTTTATATTATCATAATCATATATTAATTGTTCTTACAAGATGCTTTATTGCTGATTTGACTTTCTTGTCCCCTATCTGTCTTGTTTCACATAGGTTTCTGTAAAGCAAGCTTCCTTCCTTTACTGGAATTTGCCTATACTTCTGTGCTAAGTTTTGATTTCTGTAGCATGGCTGATGTAGCCATCTTGGCTCGGCATCTTTTCATGTCAGAAGTTTTAGAAATCTGTGAAAGTGTACATAAACTAATGGAAGAGAAGCAGTTAACAGTATATAAGAAGGGTGAAGTACAAACAGTTGCATCAACCCAGGACTTACCAGAACAAAATGGAGGTACAGCACCTCCTGTTGTTAACAATGAGGGAACCACCACAACTTTACCTACTGAACTTGGGGATTGTGAAATTGTACTGCTGGTGAATGGAGAATTGCCAGAAGCTGAGCAGAATGGAGAGCTCAGACAACAGCCTGAGCCCCAGGTTTCTTCAGAGGCTAAAGCTACTCTGTCACCTTCACCTGTAGGCTGTGCAACTGATTCTCATCCTGAAATGGAGTCTGTTGATTTAGTAACAAAAAACAATCAGACAGAACTAGAAACAAACAGCAGAGATGATAACACAGTTTCTAATATTTATCCTAAACTTTCCAAAGAGAATGTAATCAGTGGTTCTCCAGAAAACAGTGATATGGGAAATGATACATCAAATGAGGATATCTGTGATGAAGACATTCCAGAGCATAGGCAGAACCTTGACCAATCTTTAAAAGATCAGGAAAATCTAGTTGCAAAGACAGACCTCAGCCCTGATGATGATACTTATAGAAGCAGACTTCGACAGCGTTCTATTAATGAAGGGGGATATATCCGACTACACAAAGGAATGGAGAAAAAACTGCAGAAACGAAAAGCCATTCCCAAGTCAGCAGTTCAACAGGTATGATGAAGAGTTGACTTTTGTAGTTGTAGCTTTAATTTGAAAGCATTCTATTGATAAACTTATGCCTATAGTGAAAATTATTTTGGGGTGAATGGAAATAAGTACCGGAAGGCAACATAATGTTTTAAATACCAATATTAATAAGATACTGTGAATTTGCAATATTTATGATTCATTACTTAAAAATAAAAATGCTTATATTTACTTAGATTGTGTTTTCTATCCCTTACTTAGGTAGCCCAGAAATTAGTTCAAAGAGGAAAAAAGATGAAACAGCCAAAAAGAGATGCTAAAGAGCATACTGAAGAAGAAGCATCTCATAAATGTGGGGAATGTGGAATGGTTTTCCAGAGAAGATACACGCTTATAATGCACACACTGAAACATGAAAGAGCTAGAGATTACAAATGCCCGGTAAGTATCTGGAAAACTAATTGAAGATGGCTCTAACTTCATGATAAGTGGAATCTAACTTGCTGCTTCGTTGTTATTCTGTCATTTATGTTCTCTCTATGTCTCCGTCTCCCTTATATTACTATAAGAGTCATCTTCTGATTTTTACTTGTTGTTTCCTTCACAAAAGTATTTGGTGATGTACCTCTACTTCCTCCTAATACCAGTAAGACAACAGTAAAATTCTTATTTAAAAAATGTAAGCTCTCTAACAGGGCACACACAGCAACCAAGGGGGAAAAATAAAAAATATAAGCCCAGAAATTCCTGTCAAGATGGAGGCATAGGTAAACGCAGTATTTGCCTCCTCCCACAACCACATCATTTCTGGGAATCCAGCAACCTGGCTTACAGTGAGAGGCAATTAAGTCCCTACCACCACTCCTTCGGACAAAGACCCACCCTCTACTTTTTTTTGCATTTATCTTCAGATAGAGCGGGAGGGAGAGAGGGAGGAAGAGAGAGAGAGAAACATCGATGTGAGAGAGACACATCTCCTGGCTTCCACCCACATGACCCCAACCTGGTCCGGGGACAAACTGCAACCGAGGTACGTGCCCTTAGTGGGAACTGAACCTGGCTCTCTCTGGTTCGCTGGCCAATGCTCTAACAACTAACTGCAGAGCCAAACCGGCCAGGGCCATTCTCTACTTTTTAGAAAAGAAAATTATAATTGCTCTGAGGAACACTATGCACAGAGAGGGTGAATGTACTGTACTCAAAACAGGGAAAAGTAAAAGCTTGCTTACTGAATATTGAGATATTTCAAGTTGTCTTTCCCTCCCTGATCAAGTCCTAACAGTCAGGTCTTTAACCTGAAAGCAAAAAGATTTTTCAGAAATGAGAAATCCAAAGTCCATAAACAAAAGACCTAAAGATACTGATGACTAATGTGTGTGGTTGACAACCCACTCCCCCACTTACACAGAAGTTCCAATCAAGATTTTTAATGTCTTATTCTGAAATATGAATACACATTAGGGATAATCAGACTCATGATTAATATTTCAAGAAAAAAAAGCAGTTTTGAGAAATCCAAGATTGTGCGGAGAGAAGAAAACTTTGAAAACAACAATCCAGACTCTGGTCAAGATGGTGGCATAGGCCTGGCTGGTTTGGCTCAGCAGTTAGAGCATTGGCCTACAGTCCAGAGAGACCCGCGTTCAGTTCCCACTAAGGGCATGTACCTCGGTTTCAGTTTGTCCCTGGCCCTGGTTGGGTTGTGTGGGTGGCAACCACTCAATGTGTCCCTTTCACATCGATGTTTTTCTCTCTCTCTCTTCCTCTCACTCTATCTGAACAAAAAACGAAAAAATATCCTCTGGTGAGGATAAAAAAAAAGATGATGGCATAGTTAAATGCAGTACTTGAACCCTTCCCCAACCACATCAAAAATACAACAAAACTGCAGAACAACCATCATTCAGAACTGCCTGAAATCTAGCTGAATAGAAGTCTACAACTAGGGATTTAAAGAAGCAGCCACATAGAGACTGGTAGGAGGGGTGGAGATCAGAACAGGCTGGTCTCACACCCATGTGTGGCAGTTTAAAATTGTGAGGGAGCTCGGCCATTGTGGCTCAGTGGATTGAACATCATCCTATGGACTAAGAGGTCCCAGTTCAATTTCCAGTCAGGGCACATAGGAGTTGTGGGCTCATTCCCCAATAGGGGGCATGCAGGAGGCAGCCGATCAAAGTTTTGCTCTCACATTGATGTTTCTATCTCTTTCTCCCTTTCTCTAAAAAAGTCAATGAAAACATACTTTAAAAAGTAACATCAGGAGGGATATCTCAGCTGCAGAGGTTCCCCCTTGAGGAACAAGGGTCTCCAGCCCCACACCAGACCCCCCCAGCCCAGGATGAGAACTGGCTGTAAAAACCAGTAGGGAGTGTGGCTGAGTGAATGGACTCCCTGAGTTGCCGGAATCCCAGGCAGTTCCTCTTAAAGGGCCTATGCATGGACTTGGACTCATTTTCTCTGAGCTTCAGCACTAGGGCAGCAGCTTGAAAGGAACCAGGGTTATACAAAAAGGAACTGAATTTTCTTGTATCAGGGCAAGAGTTGAGGGGGCAACTTTCTGCCAGACAAAAAAGCTGGCAGAGTCCATTGTTCCTTTTCTGAGATACCCCACCCACAGAGCCAAGAGGCAGACGCCATATCTGAGACTCCATTACCTGACTTACACTGTTTGCTCCACCTTGGTAATTGCCCCAAGGCCCCACTTCACTCAACCTGTGGGCCCATTTAAGCCATTTCCAAGTGGCTTTTCCATACAACTGGCTTCTCTTGCCTCATGCTTCAGACTTTCCTAAAATCTCTTAAACAAACAGCATCTGGCCTTTGTATACTCCGTACTTCTTACTAAGTGGCTGCAGGCTCAGCACTAGCAGCAGCCCACCTTGGTTCACAGCTTGGTCTCTCTTTGGCATCTCCAAGCTCAACACAAGTAGCAGCCATCTGCAGATCACTCTGTTGCTGTGTTCCAGGCAGGGCACAGGTGGTGGCTGACTTTGCCTCACCCAGGAGGCCCCAGAGCTAGTGCACCTGGTGGACAGCTTCAGACCACGTTGAATTACAACCCTACCACCTCCATAAGTGACACACTCAAGTGACAGAATCAGTGAGCACTAAAGCCCCACTGAAGCAAGTCCTGCTCCATAGACTTAACTGTGCACAACAGCTTCCTCGCTGTAGTCACAGCCAATTGATCTAGGGGTCATTTCCTCCCACTGATGCCAACAGCAATCAAGGCTCAACTATAACGGGACAGTACACACAGCCCACATAGTGGTGCACTTGGAGCACCCAGCTCTGGTGATTGAAGAGGTTGCGCCCCTGGGCCCTATGTGACACTTATTACACAAGGCTACTCTACCAAGTTTAGGAGACAAAGCTATTCCACCTAATACATAGAAACAAATATAGGGAAGCAAGCAAATGAGGAGACAAACAGGTCCCAAGTGAAAGAACAGAAGAAATCTCCAGAAAGAAAAATAAATGGAGGCAAGCAAGCTACCAGCTACAGAGTTCAAAACAATGGTTATAAGGATGCTCAAGGAACTTAGTAAGAATGTCAACAGCATGAAAAAGGACATGGAAACCATAAAAAAGAACCAGTCAGAAATGAAGGCTGCACTAACTGAAATAAAAAATAATTTACAGGGAATCAATAGTAGAGTGGATGATGCTGAGAATCAAATCAGTGGTTTGGAATGTTCTCTTACAAACATTCCCCCCAAAAAAAGGCAAAAAGAAAGAATCCAAAAATATGAAGATAGTGCAAGGAGCCTCTGGGTCAACTTCAAGTATACCAACATTTGTATCATGGGGTTACCGGAAGGAGAAAAAAGAGAGCAAGAAATTGAAAATCTACTTGAAAAATAATGACAGAAAACTTCCCTAACTTGGTTGAGGAAATAGACATACAAATCCAAGAAGCACAGAGTCCCAAACAAAATGAACCCAAAGAGGCCCACATCAAGACACATTATAATTAAAATGCAAAAGGTTAAAGACAGAGACTCTTAAAAACATCAAGAGAAAAGCAGTCAGTTACCTACAAGGGAGCTGCTATATGGCTGTCAGCTGATTTCTCAACATAAACTTTACAGGCCAGAAGGGAGTGGCAAGAAATATTCAAAGCGATAAAAAGCAAGGCCCTACAACCAAGATTAGTCTACCCAGCAAAGCTATCATTTAGAATCCAGGGACATATAAAGAGCTTCCCTGACAAGAAAAAGCTAAAGGAGTTCTTCACTACCAAACCAGTATTACATGAAATGTTAAAGGTTTTTTGTTAAAAAGAAGAAGGGGGGGAAAATGAATAATAAAATGGTAATAAATAAGATAGGAGAGGGATTTGGGGATGGGTGAAAAAGTGAAGGGATTTAGAAGTGCAAGTTGATACTTACAGAATAGTCATGGAGATGTAAAGTATGGAAGAGATTAGCCAAAGAACATATATTGCATATATACATAGCCCATGGACACAGCAGTGTGGTGAAGGGCGGGGGGCTGGGTGGAGGGGAACAAAAGGGAGGAAACTGGGGGACATCTGTAATAGTGCCAACAATTTAAAAATAAATTAAAAAACATAATGCCCCCTCCACCCCCAAAGAACCAAATCACAAAGTATGATTGATCTCAGAGATTAAATGAAAAAGTTACATCAATCAAACAGTAACCAGGTACTGTATTTTAAAAAGGGCACATTAAGAGAACAGAAGAGTTTTTAGGAATAAAATATGTAATAAACATAAAAATCTCAGAAAAGTTGAGAAATAGAATTGACTAAATCTCTCAGAAAATAAAGCAAAAAAACAAGTTAGAAATGAGAGTGAGAGAAATTTAGAGGATTGTCTAAGACATCTAATATCCACATAATTTCAAACAGAGAACATGGAGAAAAGGAAATCATTGATGCAATAAAGAAAATTTCAGAGATTAAAAGGGCAGGTGGAATGTCCAGAACCATGGATGAAAATAAATCTATATCAAGATATATTATAAAATTACAGAATCAAGGGACAAAGAAAAAATCTTATAAATTGCAAGGCAGAAAATAGATGCTGTCTCATAGAAAGAATGTAAGGGTCAGGATGGCTTCAGGCTTTTCAGCAGCAACAATAGAAGCTAAAAGACAAAGGCGTAGTGTTTTTAAAATTCCATGAAGGGGCCAATAGCAATCTACACTCAATTATCATAGGAGGGCCCACATAATCCACATAAGGGATATTCCTGGAACACCCAGATCAGGTGATCAAGGAGACTTCACCACTGGGTCCCACAGGACACCTACTATATAAGTCCACCCTACAAATACTGGGAGTCATAGATCTACCAGATACATAGAAACACAAAGAAGCAGCCAAAATGGGGAGACAAGGAAACATGCCCCAAATGAAAGAAGAGAAATCTCCAGAAAAAGAGCTAAATGATGTGGAGGCAAGCAATTTATCAGATATAAGGATGTGGAGAAAAGAGATATGATTTCTAACTTGGAATCTATAGCCAGTCAAACTGTCATTTGTGATGGTAGAATAAGGACATTTTCAGGCATTCAAGGTCTGGAACGTATTACCTCCCAAATTCCCTTACTCAGGAAACTGTTGGCAGAGGTGTTCCACTAAAGCGAGCAAGATATGGGAAACGGGAAACTTGGGTCCAATTCTGCAGAGTCCAAGAGTAGGAAACAAACAGCCCAGGTTGGAACAGGGCATAATGCTTTGATAGAGATCTCTCATAAGATGATGTGTTTTAAATCTCCCCTCAGAAGACATTTGAGGAAAGGGTTTGGTGATGAATTACCAGTAAATACAAAACAGTAAGCAAAACAGAAAACAGAAAGGAAAGAGAATCATGGTGTACCACATCATCCAAGTAATGTAAACACTGAAGTAAATCTAATCAAAGTTAAGATAGAACTATAGTATTGAATAAGTAGGGTAATGGGAAGGATTTGCATATGTGTGTGGGGGGGTGTTTTGGGGGTTGTAAAAGAAAAGCTTCATTGAGCATTATTCCTACTTAGAGTTACAAAGATAAGTTATCATCATGAGAGAGTAAACAACAAAACAAAAACAAGTGGAAGAGGAGGTGGTAGATCAAGAGACAAGCTTTATTTTTTTTTTTTTAAGTAAGTTTTGTAGATGGTGAGCATATATATAACTTTGATTTCATGAATCCCCGACAACTAGAGGATTAAATCCAAGGACCATTAGTTTTATTTTTCTACCTTTTCCAACCCCTATTTTTGTTCCACCTAACTATTAATACTCCTATAGCATTCTTGTGTCTTTTCTGTGTCCTACAGTTCCTTCAAGACAGATCTAGCCTCCCCAATGAGGCCTTTCCTTACTGTTCAGATTACTCCTTCTTAAATATTTTACCTTAATTTATGTATAAGTCCTATTTCTGTGCTTAGATTATAAACCTCTCCAGAGTAGGGGGCTGGGACTTTCCCTTTCATCTTTATAATCTGGTACCTAGCATATTGTCTTTTATATAGTATATGTGTTTATTGGTTTATATAATTATAACAAAGAAATGGAAAGTAGAAATATGAGTCGTTTCACTTAACATTTGTAATGAAATTACATTTAGACAGAATTTTGTTTACTTTTTCTTTTAGCTCTGTAAAAAACAGTTTCAGTACAGTGCCTCCTTGAGAGCACACCTTATTCGACATACCAGAAAAGTTACACCCACTTCATCATCTTCCAATTCCACATCTAATGAGGCATCAGGAACATCATCTGAGAAGGGCAGAACCAAACGAGAATTTATATGTTCCATATGTGGAAGGACATTACCTAAATTATATTCTCTTCGAATACATATGTTAAAGCACACTGGTGTAAAGCCACATGCATGCCAGGTAAAGCCATGACATTTATTTGTTATATAAAGAAGATTAAAACTAAGTGGTGATGAGACTGGTTGACTCTGGAGTCACCTTTACTCTTATAAACTGACTTTTTTAGTTTGTTGCCTGGGTAAAGGGTGATTCCCAATTGTGTTCATTAATTTGATGTCTAATTGATTGTAATTTGAAATGAATCTATTTAGGATGTTCATGAAACTTACTAGGATTCAGGGGATGTGCTGGGTGAGAGTCATCATCCCAGTCATATTTAACTTTCAGCAGGACCAGCCTGGACTAGAAAAGAACCCAGGGTTTAAACAGATCTCCTTAGCAAAAATTCTGCATAAGCTGTGTATCCTTCTCTAATGCTAAGGACTGATGCTACCTAAATGCCAAAATATGACTCCTAGGTAAAGGATCCTGTGATTAGCCAACTTTGGGCTATTCTCTCTCTCTCTCGTTTTTTGTTTTGTTTTAGCTTTTTGATATATGCGAATAGAATATAAGAGAATAGAATAGGTCCTCGTGGACCTTTCATTCAGATTCAGTAGTTATAAACATAGGGTCAACCAAGCCCTAACCATCATTTCATTCACAAATTTAAAAACTAAGTATTAATTAGTCCTCTGATCTTCTAGTGTACCACTACTTAAAATGTGTGGTCTATGGAAAATAAGTACATAAATTGAGAGTAAGCATTTAGAAAGTCATGGCAATTTGACATTGTTGTGACATTTTTATTGTGTTTAACAAAAATCTCTCCCAAATGGATTGGGGGTGGGGGAATGGTTCTTCATCACAGAGAATGTGAGAAGCACTATTCTAGCAGGAAATTAGTATATTTGTTTTTGTTAAGCTCCCATCTCTTTCTTTTTTTTTTTTAATCCTTACCCCAGGATATTTTTCTATTTATCTTCAGATAGAGTGGGAGGGAGAGGGAAAGGGAGAGAGAGAGAAATATCAATGTGAGAGGGACATATTGACTGGTAGCCTCCCACAAGATCCTAACCAGGGCCAGGGACGAACTGCAACTGAGGTACATGTCCTTCCCCATAATCAAACCCACAACTCATTGGTCTGCAGGCTACCACTCTACCACTGAGCCAAACCGGCCAGGGCTCCCATGTCTCTTTTAATATATAAGGTACAAATACTGTTTGCCAATCTCAAAAGGACAGGTTTTTTTGTACTGCTTTGAGTTCCGCCATTGATAACATAGGTATAAGCCTGGCCAGTGTGGCTCAGTGGTTGAATGTCAACCCATGCACCTAGAGGTCACCGGTTCGATTCCCGGTCAGGGCACACGCATAGGTTGTGGGCCAAATCCCTAGTGGGAGGTATGCAGGAGGCACCAATCAATGTTTTCGTCTTCATTCTTCAGAAAGAGTCCCTGTCTCCTTTTCTCTTTTACTGGTTTAAACACCTGTGCTGTCTTAGGTTTGTGGAAAGACTTTCATCTACAAGCATGGTCTAAAATTACATCAGAGTCTCCATCAATCACAAAAGCAGTTCCAGTGTGAACTATGTGTGAAGTCATTTGTTACCAAACGGAGTCTTCAGGAACATATGAGTATTCACACAGGTAATAAGCAGTTTATATTGACATAATTACAGGGTGGGACAAAAGTACATTTACAGTTGTAAGCATGCAAAACAGTTTATTCTTGTATTATTATGTAATAACTATTGTATTTTCCATACAAACAATCATAACCTACTTTTGCTCCACCTTGTGCATGTTATATACTGTTAATTTACCATTACATTAATTATGCTGTGATTATTTCATAAATTATACAGATATAATGATGGCTATATGTGTGCAGTTTTTTAATAAGAGTAAGGTTAAAAAGTGTTCTTAAATCTAGTTTTAGAGCTATCTTATTTGTGTAAAAATACTGTTTCCCTCAGTATAGAAAAAAATTGTACTGAATATTAAATCATGTAATTTAGATCAAGACACCTAAAGAACTGGTCATGCTTTTATTTTTTTATTTTTATTTTTTTTTTAATTTTATTTTTGTTACAGATGTTTCTCCTTTTTTACCCCCTTCCCCATCCCCCCCCCAGCTTTGTTGTCCATGTCCATCAGTTATGCATACATGCATATAAGTTCTGTGGTTTATCTCTTCCCTCCCCCACAACCCCCTCTTATGAGGGTTGTGAAATGGTCATGCTTTTAAAAAGTTAAGCAGTAGGCCGATGGAACTGTCAACATGATATCTAGCTTATAATTTCATTAGATCACACATGCTTCTTTTCTTTTTTTTTTTTCTTTTATCCTCACCCGAGGACATTTTCCCATTTTTTGTTCAGGTAGAGTGGTAGGGAGAGAGAGGAACAGAGAGAGAGAGAAACATTGATGTGAAAGGAACACATCGAGTGGCTGCCACCCGCATGACCGACCAGGGCCGGGGACAAACTGCAACCGAGGTACGTGCCCTTAGCGGGAACCGAACCCGGGTCTCTCAGGACCGCAGGTCGACGCTCTAACCGCTGAGCAAAACTGGCCAGGGCACACATGCTTATTTTCAAATGCTCAAAGCAGTTATGTGGAAATGGCATATGAAGGGTGGATATCAGCTGTAGAACTTGTATTCAACTCTTACTATTGTAATCCAGATGATGATGCAACTGTGTCACATTCTTTGGCTAGCAGTAGCCTTGTTAGCGCTGTAGTTGAGAGGAAATAGGAATTTTGACATGGTTTGTTGTTTTTATTAGAAGGTGGCTGCCAAATGTTAGAGCTTCCATGTCCCTTTGATAAAATAACTTCTGAAATATGATATAAGATATTCTATTGGAAGAGCACATGATTGCTGGATTTGTGACATGGTTTTATTTTTATAGGAGAGTCCAAGTACCACTGCTCAGTTTGTGGAAAGTCTTTTCACAGGGGCTCTGGACTCAGCAAGCACCTAAAGAAACACCAGCCAAAGCCTGAGGTTCGAGGCTATCATTGTACTCAGTAAGTATTTAATAGGTGAATCATGCAGTTAACTTTATGTTCATACTAGGTTTGTTTAATGTTTGAATGTTGTTTTCAAAAGAAAATATTTCAGGCGGCTATAGTTGATAACACCATATTGTATAGTTGAAATTTGCTGAGAGAGTTGAACTTAAACACACACCCACCCACATACATGCACACACATCTCTGAAGGGCTAGATGTGTTAATTAACTAGGTGGAGTGAATCCTTTCACAATGTAGTATACATATATCAAATCATCATCATGTACATTTTAAATATGTTTAAATTTTTTTGTCAGTCATACCTCGATAAAACTGGTAGGGGGAGAAAATACTTGAAAATAGTATTAGACTCTTATTTGTTTATTCTTGATTTTAATTACTTTTTTGCCTAGATGTTTCTACTTATTATTTTTAAAGTTTTATTTAGATATAAATCACATATCATAAAAATTACTCATTTAAAATGATTTAGGTTGAAAAAGATGGTGGCGAGCAGGACCAGAGCGAGGGTGAGCGTGTGAGAGTGAGAGAGAGTGTGAATGGACGTGAGTGTGGACAAGCAGCCTTGAGTAGTGCAGAAACATGGGGCAGAGGGTTCCTGTGCTGTGGATGGGGAGCAGCTGGCTAACATGGTAAGCCGCTTGTCAGGATGCGACGGAGGAAGGCTCCGCCATTTTGGAAGATCCCTGATCTTCTCTGGGAGGAGGCAGCTGAGAGCAGCTAGGGCCAAGCAACCTGAGACCACCACTACGCCTTGCACCATCGGACCAGTGGACCCCGCTGTGTCAATGTGGACCAGCACACAGTAGCAGCACCGTCAAGGTGCCTGCTGTGGTAGCTGCAACAGGCTGGAAGCCAAGCATCATCCCTCACAGCAGCAGTCTGATTGGAGCTGAGCACCACTCCCAGCAGCAGTAGCACCAGCTTGAGAGCCCAGCACCTTCCCCCACAGCAGCAGTGACTGGATGGGTGTGGAGTCCCACCCCCAACAGCAGCTGAAGCTTGAGAGCTGAGACACACCCCCAGCATCAGAGGCTCAGGAGAGGACATGCATCCCAGGGCAGCAGCACCATAGATCGGCCCCTGAGATCCATCCCCAGCAGCATCAGCAGAGGATGATCAGGAGTGGTGTCCCAACCCAAGCAGCAGCAAGGCTTGGGCAGCCGAGACCCACCCCTGACAACTGCAGAAACAGATTTGGAGTGGAGCCCTTCCCCCAGCAGCAGCAAAGTCCTGGGAGTTGAGCATCCTCAGTCCCCAACAGCAGCAGAGGATTGGGGGCTGAGAGCACTCCCTGGCAACAGCAGCAACAGTAGCAGCGCAAATCGGGAGATGACACTCATCCCCAGCAGCGTCAGCAGGGATTGATCAGAAACTGAGCCCCACCAGGCAGCAGTACACCACAGCAGCTGACCAGCTGGACCCATGCACCCCTCCAGCGCCTACCATGATAGACCAATACTAGCGGCCGGTTGTCAATCCTGCAGGACCCACAGCAGGCAAGAGGTACTACACAGCAAACTAGTCTGGAAGGCAAAGCAGCCTTATTTCATACACACCGATCTGCCTACACATCCCAGTATCCCTCACCAGACCTAGAACTACTGTTAAATGGTAAGACAAAGAAATAGCACCCAAATGAAAGAAAAGGAGGAACCACCAGAAAAGGAACTGCATGAAATGGAAACAAGCAATCTGTTAAATAAAGAACTCCAAGCAATGATTTTAAGGGTGCTCAAACAATTTAGTGAGAATTACAAGCAACTTAATGAGAATTATAAAGAGCTCAGTGGGAACTACATCAACTTAAAAAAAGAAGTAGAAACTATTTAATAAAAATCAAGAGGAAATAAAGAATGACATAGCTGATATGAAAAATACCTTGGAAGGATTCCATTGTATATTAGAAGAAGCTAAAGACTGAATCAGTGAGGTAGAAGACAAGGCAGAAAAAAAAAAACACCCAAATAGAGCACCAAATGGGGGAAAAAATTAAAAAGCAGGAGGAGAGTTTAAAGGACCTTTGGGATGATATGAAACATAACAACATCCACATTATAGGGGTACCAGAAGGAAAAGAATCAGAAAGGAATATATAACTGGTTTGAAGAAATGATGACAGAAAACTTCCCTAAATTGGTGAAGGAAAAAGTCACACAAGTCCAGGAAACACAGAGAGTCCCAAGCAAGATGAACCCAAAAAGGTGTACAGCTAGACACATCATAATTAAAATGGCAAACATTAAAGACAACGAAACAATCTTAAAGGAAACGAGAGAGACAGAAAACTACCTACAAGGGAGCTCCCATTAGACTGTCAGCTGATTTCTCAATAGAAACATTGCAGGCCAGAAGGGAGTGTCATGAAGTATACAAAGTAATGAAAGGCAGGGGTCTGAATCCAAGACTACTCTATCCAGCAAGGCAAGCATTCAAAATTGAAGGTGAAATAAAGAGTTTCATAGACAAAAAAGCTAAAGGAATTTATCACCACCAAACCAGCACTGCAAGAAATGCTAAAGGGACTGTTATAAGAATAAGAGAGAGAGACAGACAGACAGACAGAGGAATACAGGCATAAAATAAGAATGGCAACTAATAAGTATCTATCAATAATAATCTTAAATATAAATGGCTTAAATGCTCCAATCAAAAGACATAGGGTAGCTGATTGGATAAGAAAGCATGACCCATATATATGCTCTACAAGAGACTCACCTCACAACAAAAGACTCACACAGGATGAAAGTGAAGGGATGGAAAAAATATTCCAGGCAAATGGAAATGAAAAAAAAAAAAAGGCTTCTGTAGCAATACTCTTATCTGATAAGATAGACTTCAAAACAAGGATCGTAAAAAGAGACAAAGAATGTCACTACATAATATTAAAGGGGTTGGTCCACGAAGAGGATATAATAACCCTGGTAAACATACATGCACCGAATATAAGAGCACCAAAATATGTTAAAAAATTTCTGGAGGACTTCAAGGGAGAGATCAATAGCAATAACAATCATAGTGGGTGACTTTAACACTCCACTGACACCACTGGATAGATCTAGACAAAAATTAACAAGGAGATAGCCCTTAAATGATGAACTAGATCAGTTGGACTTCATTGATATTTACAGAACATTTCACCCCGCCCTGGCCAGTTTGGCTCAGCGGTTAGAGCGTTGGCCTGCGGTCCAGAGAGACCCAGGTTCGGTTCCCGCTAAGGGCACGTACTTCGGTTGCAGTTTGTCCCCGGCCCTGGTTGGTCGTGTGGGTGGCAGCCACTCGATGTGTCCCTTCACGTCGATGTTTCTCTCTCTCTCTCCCTCCCACTCTATCTGTATAAAAAATGGAAAAATATACTCGGGTGAGGATTAAAAAAAAAAAAAAAAAAAAAAAAGAACATTTTACCCCAAAGCTGCAGAATATATATTCTTCTCAAGTGCACACAGGACATTCTCGAAGATAAACCACATGTTAGGACACAAAGTAAGTCTCTACAAAATCAAGAAAATTGAAATCATATCAAGCATTTTCTCAGATCACAATGGCATGAAACTAGAAATCAATTACAACAAAAACATTCAAATACATGGAAGCTAAAAAGCATGTTATTAAACAATTAAGTGCTTTCCAAGGAGATCAAAGAAGAAATTAAAAACTTTCTGGAAACCAATGAAAATGAACACACAACAACACAAAATCTATGGGATGCAGCGAAAGCAGTCCTGTGAGGGAAGTACATTATAGGCCTACCTCAGGAAACAGGAAAATTTTCTAATTGACTATCTAACCTCACAATTAAAGAACTAGAAAGCAAAAAAAAAGAAAGAAAAACCCAGAGCAAGTAGAAGGAAAGAAATATTAAGACAAGAGCAGAAATAAATGACATAGAGACTAAAAAAACAATTCAAAAGACCAATGAAACAAAGAGCTGGTTTTTTGAAAAGATAAACAAGATTGATGGACCCTTAGCTAGACTCACCAAGAAACAGAGAGGACCCAAATAAACAAAATCAGAAACAAAACAAGAGAAGTAAAAACTGACACCACAGAAATAAAAAGGATAGTTAATAAATACTATGAACAATTATACACCAACAAATAGGACAATGTAGGTGAAATGGACAAATTTCTAGTAACACATAGTCTCCAAAAACTGAACAGGGAAGAGATAGAAAACTTGAACAGACTAATAACAACTAAGGAAATTAAAGATGTCATCAAGAATCTCCCAGCAGCCCTGGCCAGTTTGGCTCAGCGGTTAGAGCGTCGGCCTGCGGTCCGGAGAGACCCGGGTTTGGTTCCCGCTAAGGGCAAGTACTTCGGTTGCAGTTTGTCCCTGGCCCTGGTTGGTCGTGCGGGTGGCAGCCACTCGTTGTGTCCCTTCATGTCGATGTTTCTCTCTCTCTCTCCCTCTCCCTTCCTCTATCTCCCTCCCACTCTATCTGTACAAAAAAAAAAAAAAAGAATCTCCCAGCAAACAAAAGCCAGGCCCAGACGGCTTCACAGAAGAGTTTTACTGAACATTCAAAGAAGAATTAACACCCATTCTCCTCAAACTATTCCAGAAAATCCAAGAAGAAGGAAGACTTGCAAACTTGTTTTATGAGGCCAGCATAATTCTAATTCCAAAACCAGATAAAGACACTACAAAGAAAGAAAATTATAAGCCAATATCCCTGATGAACATGGATGCCAAAATCCTCAGCAAAATCTTAAATCCAGCAATATAATATATTTAAAAAGTTATATACCATGACCAAGTGGGATTTATCGCAGGGATGCAAGGCTCATGCAATATTCATAAATCAATAAATGTGATACATCACATTAACAAAATGAAAGATAAAAATCATATGATCATATCAGTAGATACTGAAAAAGCATTTGACAACGTCCAGCATCCATTTTTTATAAAAACTCTTAGCAAACTGGGGGTAGAAGGATCATATCTCAACATAATAAAGGCCATTTATGACAAACCTACAGTCAACAT